TTTAGTAAAGATTTAGATTTTATATTTAATCACACAATTTAAAAAAATTTCATAAATACTTTAAATGTGTTTTATCATGTTTTAACAATACACATAATAAATCAATGAACTTTATCAAAGTAATGAATGATTGAATTTAAATATTTTTTAAAATTGTGTTAAAAGAAATAGCATCATGTCAGAAGGAACAAAAAGTATTCCTATTAATATGTTAACGTAAGTTTTTAATAATATAAATTTGATTATTTTTTTTAATAATTTCTTTTATATAAGGTTAATGTAATATTTTTTTACAAATTGATACCTTTCAGGGCAGAAGAATTGTTAGAAAATAAAGGTTTGAAATATAATGCATGGAATGAATATGAAAAATCAGTTAAAACTCTTCCAAAGTCTGAAATGAAACAATTTGAACCAAATAATTCTTGGCTTCAAAATATGCAAATTGAAAAGGGTATTATAACTAGAAAAAATTTAATAGCCATAGAAAGAGTAGATCGTATTTCTCAATTAGCTAGTGCAGAATGGTTACCTGCACAAAAAAGGGCAAAAGTAAAAAAATATTCTGGTCAAGATTGGAGTAGTTTTGGTTTGGAAAAAAGTGGTACCTTGTATTTAATACCAGAAGAAGCATTATTTCTTTTAGAAACTGTATGTTATTTCAAAATAATTATTTTTATAAAATAATAATATTTACAAAAATTATTTTTGAATACAATAAAAAAAGTAAAACATTATTCTATTTTAGAATTGTTTAGAACTTACATGGAATGATGTATCATTATCTATTCAACAAGCTTATGAACTTTTAATTGATAATGTTGAATGTTCATTGGAAGAATATAGAGTTTATAGTCAATTGATACGACATGGTTATCGTATACAACGTTTTGTTTATAATTCAGAAAAGAATGCAAAAAGTGATGAAAATTCTGGTAAAAAACGTAAAGTTATTGTAGAACCTGAAAATGGTCTTTGGATGACTGATATTCAAGAACAAAATAAAGATTGTATAAATATACATAATAGTAAAAAATCTGTTAATTATACAAAAGAAACTGATACAAATATTAACAATTTTTCCATAAAAATTTGTCAAGATACAACAGAAGATAAAAATATATTAAATAGTGTCTATGAAGTTATAGAAAATCTTCTTTGTTCAGTAGAAAATATTGAAACTCAATCTATAAATTTTGAATATCAAAACAATACAAAAAAAGAAAAAAAGTTGGATACTAATTTAAATATAAATGAAGATAAAAAGAAACAAAAATCCAAAGTAGAAATTATATCAGATGAGACTTTATTAAGTAATATCAGAATTGTTACAAATCAAATGAATGATTATATTAAAAGAAATAATGTATCAACAAATTGGCGAGCATCGCGTATACAACGTAATGTTAAATTAGTACCTAGAAGAACAGATAAATTATCAACTACTGATATTTTAGATTCTAATATTAAAAATTCTGAATGTTATTCAAAAAAACATAAATTTAAAAAATCAAAACACGAGGTATAATGATATTTATAATTGTTAATATTGTATAATATTAATAATATTAATAATATTATATAATATTAAAATATTAATGTTAAGAAAATTTATAATTTTTTTTTAATTAGGTGATAGAATTATCTGATGATGAAATCCAAGAGATACCAAAACCAATTACACGAATGGATTTATTAAATTTAATTCCAAATATTGCATTTCAATCAGTGATTACAATAAAAATATCAAGAGGTTACATACCACATAATATTAAACCTCTTAAAACAATTTATCATTATGAAAGTGAAAAATTAAAAAATTTACAACAAGTAGATAAAAAATTGCGATCTGATCAAAATTTAATATATAATAATGCAAATAATAATGCAATTCAAAATGCACATCAATACAATATTTCTATAAGTAACAACAGTAATAAAAGAAATATATTAGATCATAACTTAGAAACAAATGTACGCAATGTTATCATGCAAAATTATTTTTCTATGCAACATGAACACTATACAAATTTTAATCCTAATTTTATATATAATAAATCGCCTTATACATATAGTAGAAATCTATATTGGCGAAATGCGTATCAAAATGTATTTGTTGCTCTTGATAATCATAATACAGCTGTTCATCATAACAGATTTACATCAATGCAAATGAATAATTTATTAATACCAAATATGAGTAATAACGTAATTAGAGATTTTTTTACTCAAAACCAGTTTTATCACAATTATCATCAAAATTTCTTACCATTAAGAAAATTATATCATCAAAGAATTATAGAAAATACATCGATACGCTGTAGCATAGCTGGAAATCTATCAGTTTCAGATTCATGTCAGAGAAATTGGTCACAAAATCATCATAAAAATACAAATATAATATCAAATTCTAATGATGAAGTCTATCAATCATCATTTAAGATATTACCAGGAACATCATCATGGTTAGAATTAAAAACTAAATGGCTTGAAATAAAAACAATCACTATTGAAGATGAAGATATAGGAAAGGAAGTAATTGAAGATTGCAATGAAATACAAGTAGTCAGACAATTACGCAGTCCTCTTGTTGGATCAAAAAATGCAAATAGTCTTGAAGAAGTTTTTAATAAACTTAAAATAATTAAGTCTGCACCAGAAAAAATTGTAAGAAAAAAGAAAAATAAATATAAAATTTCATATAATGTTTATTCTAATACACAAACTTATAGAAAAGCAAATCCTGGTCTTCCACATTATAGAATAATTGTAATAAGGTAATTTATTTTTATTAGACTTTTTATATATACAATGAATATATTTATTAAAATTTATTAAAAGTTCATTTATAAAATTTAATCATGTTTTGTTTTTTGTTTTAGACAAGATGATTCATTTATACAACCAATTGAATTGCATCGTTTAATGCAAGATGCAGAAAATGTACCAATATTATTGGCATGTGTTTCTATGTCAATTTCATATATTCAACCAGGATATATATCTATACCTAATTTAACATAATTAAAATAAAATATTTCAATATGCAATATATAATTAGGTAATATTTAATCTTTTTTTTCTATTTATTTTTATATAAAATAAAAATAATTAAAAAATATATTATACATACAAAACAAAAGAGAGTTAATTAACTTAATCAATTACCAAGCATTTATGTTAATATATTGAAAAATATTTACTTTGTAATAATAATTGATATTTTACAAACCTTATTTATAAATTTTATATTTATTTATATTTAAAATAAAATTTTCAGGTAATATATTAAATAATACATAAATTATGTATATTTCATACTTTATTATAAAGATTTCAAACAACATTTCACGTTGTAGAAATTATTTTTAGTTTATTTTTTATATTAAATCTTCTTAATAATCATGAAATTATTTTCGATCTATAACTGGTTCTATAGTTTGTCCACCACAAATTTGACCCCAACCAATTAAACGCCAATGTTTTTCAACACGACGTGATAATGCAATTTTTTCGTCAATTTCTGTACACACAGGATTCGTTAAACTAATTTTAGCTAAGTCAGCACGCGTAGCTAATACACGACCTCCAGTACTTAATGATCCAATATTTACTAATAGGACTTCATTTCTCGATAATTTTGGTACCTATTGTCAAATATTTCATAATTATAAAAAAAAATATTTTAATATAATATTTTTATTATATTATTTATTTTATAATTATTACCCTTGCTCCTTTCTTATCACCCTCAGTTCTCACTCCTAACAATCGTTTAAGAAGATAATATGATATTTCAAGTTCAATAAAAATTTTAGGTAGAGCTCCTACAGCTCCTAAAATTTGACCCACTAAACGATCAGCTCGACATAATGTTGGTTCAATTTTTGTTCCGACACCTTAAAATTTATCGTTTATATATTATCAATTATTTTTAATTTTATATATATTCTTCAAATATATTTTCTTTATTATTCAATATTTAAATTTATTTACCAATAAGACCACCAGGAACAGCAAATTGAAGTTCATTCTGTTCAGCAAACAATGATACTATTCGTGAAAAAATAGGTCGACAAGTCAATTTTCCTTCACTATCTTTAGATACTAATCCAGGGCGGACTTCAATTTCCATACCCACCTAAAAAATAGAAATAAATGAAATTATATTTATATAGTAAGTAAAACTAAAAAATTATTTATAACATACTTTTAATACTCCTCTTAAAATACTTCCTCCAGCAACACCACCTTTCAAATCATCTACTTCACAACCAGGCTTATTTACGTCAAATGATCGAATTACAATTAATCTCGGTTCTGAAGTGAAATCTCTTAAAGGTACTGGAATTTTCTTTGTAATATATTCACACAAGACTTCAATATTATATTTAAGTTGTGCAGAAATTGGTATTACAGGTGCTCCTTCAGCTACTGTACCTAATTTAAAAAAAAAAAATTTATTTAATAACATAATAATTTAATATAATAATAACATAAAATAAAAATATTATTTAAAATTAAATATTAAAAAATATTTAAAAATATTATTGAGATAGAAATACCTTGTACAAATTTTAAAATTTGTTCATATTGCTCTTTTGCTTGAGCTTCCTTTACTAAATCTATTTTATTTTGTAAAATTACAATATGTTTTAGTTTCATAATTTCAATAGCAGCCAAATGTTCTGATGTTTGAGGCTGAGGACATGATTCATTGCCAGCTATAAATATATTTATTGATTTTAATGTTTTAAATAATTATTAATAAATATAAATATAATGTAATAGAATTTTAATTATATACCAATTAAAAGTAATGCCGCATCCATGACAGCTGCTCCATTCAACATAGTTGCCATAAGAATATCATGACCTGGACAATCAACAAAGGATACATGACGTACGAGTTGAAATCGTCCAGAGCAAACTGGACGTAAACAAGGAAACGAATCATCTTTGCTTGATCCTCCAGATATATAACATCCTGGTCTTGGACATTTTTCATTATCACATTTATAAATTTTTGCATTTGCATATCCTGAAACAAGTACATTAAAAAAAATCGATATTACTTTAGATTTAAAATACTTTTGTTTAATTTTATTTTAAATTTTTTTCTTTTTTTATTATTATTATTAATGAATAAATAAAATTAGAAAAATTAAAATTAATCACTAGAATTAATCATAAGAAATAAATACAAATTAATTGTTGATATAATAATATACATTTATTATTTATTTATATTCAAAAAAACATTTTTTCCTATGCATATTTTTAAATGATTTAAAACTGTTTAGAACTTAATTAAAGTACAAAATATTAATAATAGAACAATTAAAATTTATTTAATGTCAAAATATGAATAAAATTAATTTAATATATTAATTTTTTTTTATAAAAAAATATAACATCTCTAAAGTTATTTTCTTGTTTTTAATATAATATGTTAATATATTCTTAATATATTTTTTAAATAGTATAAATCATATATTAAATATTTATGATTTTAATTATTAATACATTAAAGATTCTGCTTTCAAATGCTTTTATAATAATATGCTTTTATATAATATATAGTGTATATATATACACACATATATATATGTATACATATATTTCAATTATATATATATAATTGAAATTTATTAACTAGAATTAAAAATTATTACAAAAACACAAAATAAAATTATATTAAAATATCTTATTAAATATTATATATTATAAATAATTTGTATAATTTAATCATGTGAATTAAGGAAAAAATTATATGCTATATTTAGCAAAATGATATTTTTAATATATTATTATAGTTTCACAGAAACATTGTAAATAATTACATATAAAATATGTGAAAAATAAAATTGATAACTTTGATACAAAAGCTATATTAATGATGATATATAATGATATATAACATTATTGAAATTCATGATATATATGTAATTTCATACATATTTAGAAGATGGTATGTAAATATATTAATGCAATTTATTTTATTGCTACAATATTAAATTGCTACGACAACGTTTTTAAACTAAGTATATAACCATATAACAGAAATAATTATCCTTTAATTTTAACTGATATTTTCTTAATAAATAGTGAATGTTCATATTAAAATTAAACATATTTGATTATAAAAAATTTTATATTGATAATAAGTAATAGACATATTGTAATGTTGAGTTTATGACAACATTTATGAATATGTAATTAATATTATTTTCATTATTTTAAACTTTTTTAAATTCGATATCAATAGGAAAAATATTAATATATAAAGTATAACACATATATAATTACTTCTAACAAATACATATAAAATTGTAAAAATTATATTCTCAATAATAATTTGTTAAATATTTAAAATTTTTTTAAATAATTATATAATCTAAATATATATTGTTCAATCATAAAATACAGAAATAATCATTAACAAAATTAAATTTAATTTTAGTAAAGTAGTTTTTCATTTGTCTACATCATTTTTCCGAAGATTATTAAAATAATTAAAACTATTTGCTTATACAATTTTACTTAAATATTAATACAATAAATTTATAAAAAAAAAAACTTAAAATAAATATCGTCTACAATTCTGAGCATCGCATTTGCATAAAGTTTTATTGTTCGATGAGTCGGATTCTGATGTCTCTGAGCATAATTGTACATTTTCTTGAAATTCTGGATATACATTCAAATTTTCTTTCATTGATGCACGTTGCATTATAGAGTTTTCACTATTCTTTGACGATTGACACATGTAATCGAATGTAATTTCTTCGTTTTGTTTAATATCTTTCGTTGCAAACAATGCAAGTTTAGGAAGATTTGGATCAAGACAATTAATCCAAACACCATAAACTGCTAAGTTTGGATCACAAGAATGATTAATGAAATGAGAAATATTACCATATATAGCAGCATCAACAGTATATGGACACTGTTCTTCAGATTCATTATAATCAAGATCAAATAAATACGTTCTACCAGCGGCATCGTATTCTTTACCGCGTTTTTCAGCTTCTTCATTTGTTATTACTTCTCCTACATATTGTGTGACAAAACTCCCTTTTTTAATCGCTTTAATAGTCTTCACACCCCATCCTCGTCCATTGGCAGTTCTGAAAATGCAGAATTGCATCTTGGTGCCACGCTGCACTACTCGATTAATGCAATCTATATCACAATTGCATCGTTTATTACATTCATATATCGGTGTTCCAGGTGGAACTCGAATCTTATGTTTCAAAGTGTATGGACATAATCCATCATCCTGAGCAAAACAACACTTTGTTTTGGAATTACAAGTTTTGCATTCACAACCAATAGGTGGATCATCAGGTATTATGACTCCATTACCAGGTAGATATTCTTCTATATAATAAAAATTTTGAGGTGCTCCTTCCAAATCTATTATATTCTCTACTCGTATTAATGGTTTACCTTTAGTAATAATATTCATTTCATTTTCCCAATCTTCTAAAGATTTTAACTGTTTCTTCCTTAAATCAATAATTAACATACGAAGAATATCATGTTTTATAACTTTTTCCAATTTACTATTTTTGACATATTTTTGTTTCAAAAATTTGAGTATACTAATGAACATTGTATTTGATTCAACTGAAATTGATGTTAATGTCTTTCCTCCACGCTTAAGATAATTTAAGAATTCTTCAATATCTTGATTATTTGGATAAAAATTTACTTTTCGTTTAAAACTTTCAAGTAATTGTAATCTATTTCTCTCAAATTCTTCTAAAATATCTGAACAATTTATTAAATTTGATACAGGTTCCCAAGTATTATATTTTAAATCCCAATTTTTCCATTTGATTAAATAAGTTGGCACACCTTTTATTTCTTTCTTTGCAAGAATTTTTTCTACTTCCCAAATATCAGTTTCTGATAATAATGTTTTCATTCTACTTTTAGTATTATGTCTTGTATTCATATGTTTTATATCTTCTAATATAATTCTAAGCTCTTTCAATTTAACATTTCCTAAATTGCAAAATATTTTATATTTTTCAATATCACTATCAGTACATGATTTGTTTTCTGCATTTTCCATGCTAACTTCTTGATTATCCAAATAGTCCGAATTTTTTCTGTTAATTGTTCGTTCTTCTT